TTGCTAGCTGACAAGTAGTCGCTATATTGAACAGAAATCCAGCTTACCGTTGAAGATGGCAAAAATGTTAATTGCTTCATCTTTGGTAGTTGACTGTATTTATTAATGCATTGCATGAGATATTATCTCCAAACCTAGTTATTAATCACATTTACAGAAATTGGATCTGCTGGCGATGAAACATGAAGATGATGCCAAATTTGACTCTAAAGATCATGGTATGAATATATTGTTGTAACCGTGGAATTAGTAGAAGATAAAACCAAAAAGGTAGTTGTCTACTCTATTATGTGTCATCTTATAAGCGAACACAAGAAGCACTACAACTAAATTTGATTCCAAAAGCATAAAAACAGCAATAGAATCCAGCTCACGAACTAGGATATTAATGAATCTATGATAGAAAAGATTGTCTTTTCTAAGCAATTATTATTATGTGCTATTTAGTCATGTGATGATGATTATTCAACAATGTTCATATATTGTAACATCAAATTTTTTGGTGATTTGTTAAGCAAGACATAGAGTAATGAATGCTAAAAAACTCCAAAGAATTGAAATGAAATTTGGCAAATTAGTGAGAAATGATTTTGTTGATTTTTAATAATTGAATTTTTAAATGGAATAAAATTAAATTAACTTGCTGATTTTGTTTGATCCCCAAAATTCAGTACGGTGTGATCATAACGTTATGAATACTTTATACTAGCAAAAACACATTGGTTTTAGGGTTAATTATCATTCCACTGACCAGTTTACACATTAAAAATACTCGTGTTTAACATTGAGACACAATAAGACATAAGGTTTGAAAAAAGGGTCTAAAAAACCAAATCGGCTTTTAAGTTAAAAGCAATTAAAAATAAGTTTGATAATTTTTTATCTATTTTCATTCAACCATTATTGAGAAACCAATAATAAAGATTTCCTTTTTTTTTTTTGTTACACACAGTAAATTTGAATCATTAGATCAAAGTCCTATACATGCTTTTGATTATAAAAAGATCCCACACATAAATCAAAAATTATAAATGAGCAATTTATTTATTATTATTCATTAAGAGTAAAAACTTACACAAGAAATAGTTAACTATCACAGGAATAAATTTACAGAAAAAAAACTTAACCTTAAAAAGGAACAACTTTACAAGTTATATTATTTATATTAATATTATTTACAAAAAACAAATTTTATGAATTTATTTAACTCTGATTTTTTTAATTAGTAATTATATTATTATTTAATTTTCCAAGATTAGTCATGATTAATTTTATCTCTTCATATTCTTCGTCTTCCCATTTGTTTGCCTTGCTTGACTTTAATAACCAGACTAAAGCTAACGAGAATTATTATAATAATCTTCATCAAAAGACTCGTCGCCTAGTGGAAAAGGTAATGCGTGTATAGTAGATAGTAGTAATAATGATAGAACGAATAACATGACAATATTTCTTGTAGAATTCATCATTTCTTTTTTATTATTGGTTTTGTTTTTTAGCGTCAAATAATTTCGTAAATTTCGTAAATTTCTTATAAAAAAAAAAAAAATGAAAAAATTTTTTTTTTTGATGAGGAAAAAATTATTGTATCTCTTTTATAATCGTTGATTGTTTTCCCATTAAACTTTCATTTAATTGTTACACCAAGACTTATAAAATTATTTGTTTATTTAATTATTGTTCGGTACTATCTATTTATCAATGATGTTGTAGTTATCTTGCCTTTTTTCAATAATAAATTTATTTATTTACGCCATTTGTTTAAAGGTTTCAATAACGAACTAATTCAAAATTATTTAAATATAATCACCTGCATATAATTGATATGCATTATTGGCATAGATCTACAACTACGTAAGGAATACATTAGGTTTCTCTTAAATATTAATATTAATAATTAACTATAATATATATATATATACTGTTTTCCCAAAGAATAAATAATTGTCTATACTCGTATATTATATATATACATATACTTTTTTTTTAAAGAATAAAGAATTGTAATACTTCCTCCTCGTTTTATTTTCACATTAATTAATTTGCGCAATTTTTAAAAGATTTTTTTTTTTCCTAATCAATGAAAAAAAAATATACTAAAAAATCGACAATTATAGTAATATGGTGACAGTTGCATGAAACAACAACCGCCTCTTAGGTATGATTGACATAAGTGTTAAAGATTTGTGCATGTTCCTCCAAATTACACGACATGCTTTAAAAACCTTTAAAGCATTTATCCCAATTAAAGTTACTTTTAGGTAATTTGTATTAAATAGATTTCTGACCAATCAAATGTCAAATGTCGTGTTACAAACATTTCATTTGATTTGATTTGATTTTTAAAAAGTTCAAAGGAAAAGGAATCTAAATGTAAATAAATAATAATGTCTGGAATTTTTCCTAAAGAAGCAATAAAGGTTTTTTCCCAACAATTAATTAATGGTTATTCCTTTCATCGTTTTCTTATTTATTATTAAATTGGTTTTTTAGAATACTGCTGAAACAATTGGAATATCAAATCTAAAAGACAATGTAGCAAATGCATTGGCACATGATGTAATGATTCAAATTTACTGTGTGTAACAAAAAAAAAAAGGAAATCTTTATTATTGGTTTCTCAATAATGGTTGAATGAAAATAGATAAAAATTATCAAACTTATTTTTAATTGCTTTTAACTTAAAAGCCGATTTGGTTTTTTAGACCCTTTTTTCAAACCTTATGTCTTATTGTGTCTCAATGTTAAACACGAGTATTTTTAATGTGTAAACTGGTCAGTGGAATGATAATTAACCCTAAAACCAATGTGTTTTTGCTAGTATAAAGTATTCATAACGTTATGATCACACCGTACTGAATTTCGGGGATCAAACAAAATCAGCAAGTTAATTTAATTTTATTCCATTTAAAAATTCAATTATTAAAAATCAACAAAATCATTTCTCACTAATTTGCCAAATTTCATTTCAATTCTTTGGAGTTTTTTAGCATTCATTACTCTATGTCTTGCTTAACAAATCACCAAAAAATTTGATGTTACAATATATGAACATTGTTGAATAATCATCATCACATGACTAAATAGCACATATTGATTGAAGTCTTTGTGAATAAATTTTGAGCTTAAAATAATTGACTTTCAAACAGCATCCCAATCTTTGTAATAAGTTCAGGAATGATCTCTATATAGAATGTAATGGCAAAAAAAGAACAAAAAACACTTTCTAAATTGCACCAAAAAATTTCCGGTTTTTTTTTGTTACACACGTAAACATCCTTCGATATTAAGGCCGTCCAAATTTAATTATCCTTTTTTTTTGAAAATTAAGAGGGAGGGGGGAGGGGAGAAATTTAAACAAACAAAATAAGGTAAACACCAATGAAAAGGCCTTCAATCACTAGAGTTATCGGCAAAGAAAAATATTTTTCCAAAAATGTTTTGTGTTTTATGAAAAAGTTTAGGAATACTTTGTTACACAGTTAAATCACGTGCATTATAATTAAATTTTGAAAATCTGGGAGGGGAAATTTAAACAAATAATTAATTAAAGTTAAAATCTAATGATATTAATATCAAATTCTGATTGGCTAATTTGAATTTCACAAATGCAAATTGCAAAATTTCTTTTCCACAAAGGTTTGCTGAAGAGAGTGTAACTGTGAATTCCTAAATATTTATATAATAATAAGGACCGAAATTATATACTTTAAATAAATAAGTTTTTCAGTTCGTTTTTGAAAAATTATTATTATAAATATAACTATTACTATATTTGGTACAAATATTTATAATATTTAAAATATTTTCGTCAAATTACTAAATTTATTTGCAAAAAAAAATCCAGATCTGCATATACAGATCCGGTTTAAAATTTTTGAACCGGAAAAGAAATCCAATTACAAATTGTAATTGAAAACAATACAACAATATATCTCCATCTAATCTACATATACTACTTGTTCTATACACCTATTCTTTGTGGAAGTTACATCAAATTTTCTTTTATTTTAAACAAAAACGTGCGATTTTCCTGTAATTTTACTTGGTATTTTGTGAAATATAATTAATTAACATCATAATTTATTTTTAAATAAGGTTAACATGAAAAAATATAAAGTTCATTCTATTCTTCCGTCCCTATATGTGCCTTTTTTCATTATAAAGTGTGTTTACTAAGATATTTGTTATAGAGAGAAAAATTAATTATAAAAAAATGAATAGGGACGAAAGGAAGTTCATTATAGATATTTAACTCCGTCAGGATCAACAGGAATGGGCCAGTTGTTTTTTATTTTGGTGGATTTCCTGTTAAGGGATTTAATGGCTATTTATCAATGAAAGGTAGAAAAAGTCGCCCTTGCATTTAAGCTTATATAATTAATATATAATAATAATGTTACAGTCAAACCTCGTTATAACAGATTTTGTTATATCGAACAAAATCTTATATTAAATAAAAAATTTCGTTACAACGAATTTGTATAATAACAATAAACTCGTTATTCCGTATAACGAACATTTATTTGAAAAATTTTATATTAATATACACTCCCCTTAATAACCGGAAATGTCACGCCTTATGCAGTTCAATATTTTATTAATCAAACTGGGACTGGTGCATTAAGTTTAAAAGTTAATTTGCATATAAACTTAAAGTCTCGTTGAGTTTGCATTATTAATGAATTTAGTATTAGGATGAAAATTTTAAATTAGACAAAAAATTCCGTGATTTTTATGAAAACTTTGAGCTTAGTAAAAACCTTCACGTCATTAAGTAAATCCACTTAAAATATCTTAAGAAAATTTGATCAAGTATAGACAACAAAAACTTAAAGCCTTAAAATTTGCATTTTGTCAACTTTATTGTTTTATATCATAGAATTATGGGGTGGTCGGATACTTTTTTAAACCCTTTTCATGAACTAATTTATGCCAACACCATATTGTGGATTATGTAATCTGTTACTTTGAGCACATTTTATTAATGAAATAATATACATTACAATGAAGAAATTTGACCTTTATTACATGTAAAGATTCCAATTGAAAATTTGCTTTTTTGGACTATTTGCTAAATGTTTCCATTAACATCATACCGAACCTTTCGAAGCTTTTGTAATTTAGAGATTTTGATATCAAGTACAAGTCTACTTAGTAAAGTAAAAACGGTTTTATTTAAGAAAACGTTACTTTTTTAGTAAGGACTCCTTTCATTTTATGTTATACAATTTGGGTGGTCGGATACTTATTAATAATTAGTTAAAATTTATTTATAATTAATTATAACCAATTATAAATTGTAAAGACTTTGTCTGATTGGCCATCATAATAATCAGGTTTATGGTCGAATTGGATTGAAAAAGCATATGTTTTTCTTCCATTTTAAATTAGCAGGTACTAAATCCTGTAAACCTTAACGTTGTAACTGCTGCAAATGCTACAAGTTTGCAACTTCTGCAATTATTGGCAATCTCTGCAAGGTCAACTGCTATTATATATATAAAATAACTTTTTTTACGGGAAAATAAACTTTACCGTATGGATTAGATTTTTATAGTCGTGTGACATGTCATAGAGAGTGAACTATGTATGTATATGAGTGTCCATATGAAATAAACATGATGGATGATCAATAAAGCAACAATTAATGTTATGAAAACCGTTGAAACACGATTATAATCACAATTAGTAATTTCGTTTCAACGGATTTTAAATGAAATTTTCTTATATGTCTAGCCATTCCGTGACACTCTAATGTCGTTAAAGTCATAAACCGTAAAACTGTAATGCCATAATTATTCACGGCAAATAAATATTGCGAGTGTTATTTATTATAGAATTTAGACAATAATGTTCAAACTAAACTAAATCACTATACACAACTATATTAATATTGTTTGATTATTCGAATAAGATTTATTCAAATTATTTGTTTCTCGTCATGAATTTGGTATTCAAATTACATTGAGTTTATTTGAATAAAATAAATAACGAATAATTCGATAATTCGAATAAAACAATTCGGCGAATGATTAGAATAAAATGAATAAACAAATAAATAAAACAAATAAAACAAATAAAACAAATAATTCGAACAAAACAAATAAACGAATAGTACAAATAAAACGAATAATTCGAATAATTCGAATAAGAATTTGTATTATGAATAGAAACCCTACCTAGAAGATGCATTGACTCGTATTAACACTATTACTTTTGAGGTAGCAAAAACTTTTAGAACTTTATTTATTGGACAAATTGGATAGAGAGGTGCTGGATCAAATACCAATAATGGATTATAACTTTATTCAAAAATTATTTCAAGCTGTTTCATCCAGAGAAGGATCTCATGCTCCACAAAGAACATCTGACGAATCATTAAATACAGTCCCCGGAGAAAGTAATGGCGCGAATATTCGAATTACTTATTCAGGCATAATACCATAAAACGTTCATTTATAATGTTTATTTGTCATTGAGTCGCGTAAATAGATAGTAACCATAAAAGTAAATAATAATCAATGTTTTTGTTTATTTTGCAAAGTGTCTTCGAACCATATTAAAGACAGCCATAATGCCGTTAACTTTCTCTAGAAACAAAAATATTCGTACTCTGAAAGAAATTTCGAATAGAACTGGGATCCCATTACGTACATGTCAACGATACGTCACCATATTAAAAAAAAAAAGGAAATTCGCCGGTCAGGTCGTCCGCGAAAATTATCACCGAATGATCGTCAAGAGTAACCACTATAGGAAATGAAAGCTATTTTAGAAGAAAAAGACCAAGATCTCGAAGTTAGTGAGGGGACTGTTCGCCGTGAGCTTT